CAACAGCAGGCAAACAACTTACAGTTAGTTGCTGCATAAACCCCAAATTATCTTGAAGCTGATCTAGTTTCTCTGACTGGGTTTCCAATTTATTAGTCACCGAACAATTATGTCTTTGAAGCTGTAAGATTTTAGCTTCTGAACTCAAATTTTGATCCAAAAGTTTCATCAGCTCAGACTTCATTAGGAGTTTATTTCCCTGAATTTCAGCATTTAATCGTCCTACTTCAGCCTCAAATGTCTTCAATTGCTGGTTTTCAACCTCAAGTTCCTGTGTCTTTGCCTAGGCATCCCATATATAAAATTATTAATGAAATTCAAGACCATAATCAGAAGGTACAATTGAAATCATAAAGATATTTAATTACCTTTTTTCTTTGCCTGTATGCTCTATCGATCTCTCGTTTTCTGGCTAGCCGGTTCTGATCTCTGGCTGACGTCAACGTTTGCCGAATTAGAGGTTCTTGCTAGTGATTGGATTCAAAATCGCGCTTCCCATCTTCCCACAAAACTTCTTCCGAAGAAGACGTACATTTTTGAAGTGAAGCTGAATGCTTCGAAACAGATAAATGTGAACTCCCGATGAAAAAATCCGTGGGAATCTCATTGAATGAGTATTCTACCATAAATAAGCAAAAGATCAATACATCAACCTTGACTTTTGGCAGTCGGATAAAAAAATTAACTTCAAAACCTTTTGATATATGGTAAAACAGCTCGTTGGAAATTAAGCAACTTCTGACTCGATTATCAAGAATTTCGGATGAACCTGCAAATTAAGCAACAAGATGAAAAGAAAGTTTTTTTTTTTCTTTTAGCCGCCATATCAGGAAATTAAACCCTTGTAAATCAAAACCTTGCAGCGGATCGGGTCGTCCTGTTCCTGCCATAGCCTGATTGTTTTGATTTATCCCGATCCGAATCCCAAAATTCAGATAAATCTGGACCATACCCTGAGAAAGGGACTTCTGATCCAACTGTAAATAAACAAAAGATAAAAAAAAAAAAAATCAGCTTCTCTTTTGGCCGTTGGATAAAATAATGAGCAGTGCTAGGGGCACTCGCCTTTGCACTCGCCGGCTGACACTTCCCCTTTCATTGGGCCACGTAAGCTTCTTTAAAGCTTTCAGGCCAACCTTTCGGAAACCAAAATAACGTGGCCCAATAAAAGAGAAAGTGTTCGCCGGAGAGTGCAGGAGACGAGTGCCCCTAGCATTGCTCTAAAATAATTAGCCTCAAAACCTTCCTCAATTTAATGGAAACCTTGTGGCGCATCGGGTTGAACTGTTCCTGCTACAGCCTGATTGTCTTGATTTGTCAAAATCGAATTCAAAAATTCAGATGAATCTGGGCCATGACCTAGCTGATTGAGGGTTACAACTGTAAAAAGTAAAAGATCAAATAATTAATGAGGAAATTAATTTCCAAACCTTTCTCAATGTAATCAAATGGAGCGAAGGAAGCGGGCATAAAAACACGAGGAACAGAGAAGTTGAAGATTTGTTCTAATCAAATGCAAGGGCCATCTAAATAAAATTAATTTTGCTAATTATAATCTGTCTAACCTATGCTTAAAATGTAATAAATACAAAATTTTACCATTAATTTATATAAAAATTACAAAAAAAAAAATTGTTTTAACACCATTATTACATAAATAATTTTAATTAACTAATTAAATTAAAATTACTATTAATATATATATTTTTTATATACAAATTAATTACAAAAAACCTGCAATAAATGCACCCTTACCTATACCCAATCTTGAGCTTTAAAT